CAAAATTTATATTCTTAAAACTTCAGGGTCTCAACCAAACTTTATCAATTCTTCTACTTCGCCATAATTTCTCACAAACATAATTTAAGCTTACATTTGTAATGGACGATCTATGATAACTATGAGTGCTATTACACAAATATAATTCGCAGATAGACGAGATTCTGCATTGAAATTTATATACAAACCCAAGTTTACTGATGAAAGTGTACTTCAAAGGTTCAAATAACTCGTGGTCCTTGTAAAAACCCTAATTTTGACAAAAATATAAAAATACTAACCTAAAATGTGTCAATTTTTTTATACGTTTTATAGATATTCGAAGCATAAATATGATGAATCAATTATAATAAGCTGTAAAATCATAATTACAACACAAGATTCAACAAAATACCTGAAAATGAACAGTGATTTTTCTACAAAATGGATTCCACTCAAACGCGTTCAAATGACAATCAAACATGGCGAAATAGTGATAAAGCTAACAGTTCTTTTCATTATATACCACAAATCTAAATTGCGTAAAAATAGGCCTGCAAACCTTGGATTATTTGTTCTTAAAGCTATTTTGCTTTAAAGCGTGCGATTCCTAGAGCTTCTGGTGGATAAAACGGCTCTATAAAACCTTCATAAAACTCCAAGTTATTTGCCTCTGAAACAGGTTGTTAGGGCTGCTTTCAAATTTTTATGCTTCCATCTGGTGGAGAAGATTCAAACTCTTCCAATGCTCTCGTGATCTCGGAATCTGCTTGGGGCGTTGAAAGGATTTGGATCTTCTTCGCTAGATATATATAAAATTTTGAAAACATTAGGCTTTTTCGGAAACGCTGATTCAGATCCTATTATTCCCATTAATCCGATCACCAGCTGTTTGTTTTCTATTTTTCCGAAAAGGCCTTTTGTAAGTAAATCACTCTAACCACCTGTTTTTTGTTGTGGACTGAAACAAACCGTTACGTTACAAATACGGCCTTACAGACCACAAACAAGCTTTTTGTTAGGTTAAAATAGGATTTTAAAATACTAATTTTATTGAATGGTAGATGTCGCCTGCCACTTTCACGTGCTACATCACATGCCAGGAACTTGAAAAAAATTGAGATTTAACGCAGCTTCTTTAGTCCCCTTCCTAAAGGGGATTGGAAAGGTATGAAGTTTAGAGACATCTTTTTTGAAGCCTGAAAAGTTTATTGAACTTCGGTTTTATTGCAGTTTTAAGCTTTACTTTTGCACTCCCTTCATACAGCTAAATTCCTTATTCGTAGGTTAAGATAAAGCAGAACGGTTTCCAGATCTTTCTTAAAGTAAAATAGCTTCAAGCTAGAAATGTTCGCAGCATTATTACGGCTACTTTAAAACCATTCGCGTTTTTAATGCTAAAAGGCTGTAATACCTATTAGGTGATTACAATGTTGTAACAGCTCTTCAATAAAACACAATAGTTTTAAAATAGTAAGCTTCTAATTTCACATTCTTAAAGCTTTCATATAACCTAGATAATGCCAAAAAGCATTTAAAATGTTACTTGGGAATCAATGGCCGTTTGCAACGACCATTTTAAGGGAGGCTTAACGATAAGGATACTTTAAAATGACAGTTTTACATGTAAAAATGTCACTTTAAGGATTTCGTGGGCGTTGTTCGATCTCCTGTAAGATTTTTATCACTGCTTCATCCGTGATGGAATCGGCTTGAAACGCGCCTAACGATGACGTATAAGGGATATGAGCATCTTCTACAAATCAAATTTGAGAAGACGCCATCGACAAAGCACGAACAGCTGTTCCGGTGGCCGCCAGCTTAAAGCCTTGATTCTGCGGTTGCCAGTTGTGACTGAATGTAGTGCTTAGTGGCTCGTGCTTCGTTAATTTAATTATATTTCTTCTTAGTATTTCTTGGTATTTTGCCAGCATTTTAGAATTACAAATTTTCAGTGCTAACAATGAGTGGCAACACTGTCAAAATTCATGTTGTGACGTAGTGCGGATAAATTTCGTGTTTTTATTTAGAGAGTTTTCTTTTTTATTTATTTTCTCAACAAGGAATCCAAGTTTTTCAAAAGTAAGGGTGCAGAAAATTCTATTTGTAGTTACTTTATCCAATTATATCAACTTCAGATATTAGTAAAAGAGACCATTGGGGCTGAAATTTTCGTTCAAAAATTGAAAGATATCTACGACAACATTTCAGGAAAACCTAAGAGACTTTAATTGAATAACCATGTAGAAAGAGCGTCGGCATTTTGTTTGCCTGTTTTATAAATAATTTCATAATCGTATTAGTCTTATTACTCAAGTGTACTAACTCAAAACTGGACTCTTTTATAGATTGAACAGCCATGCAGACTTGTCAGTGATCGTGACCATTTCATATCAAAACTTGTCGCCGTATAGATAGGACCAAAATATTGATTAGCCAATAATCCATATAATGGCTAGAAGTTATTTTTCCAAAGTAGATTACCTTTGATCGTTCTCCAAGGACAAAATTCGAGGCAACTGTGGGATGTACATACAAGGGGTTTTTCGAAGTAAGGTTATTTCAAGATGGGTACGTTTATGAGAGGCTTTTCAAATGATTGAAGGATTTTATGAAAGGTTCACTATGAATATTGAATAAATAACCTTGGCACCCTTTTTCAGGCGGGAGTCAAGGGTTTTTGTGATTTTGGCAAAATTCTGGTATTCTTTCGTATCAATCGTATTTTTGTCGACGACGTCATTCTTGGCGGAGAAGTGCTAAAAATTACTATATCATCGAATTCATCGAAGTAGGTATACTAAGCAAGTTTCGTGACTCGTTAGACAGGGTGCCCACCGAAATAGCGTGGCTTATGATGTAGCGTCATCTAGCAAGTAGCACGCATCTAGCATGCTACGTCAAATCAAGCAAACATGAATAAATAAGCAAGAGCCCACTGAAGTAACAAGACAAGTAACATGCATTTAGTGGCACGTAACGTAATGCGTACTACTTGCTAGATCACACGCCACTTAATAAGCCACGTTATTTCAGTGGACAGTCAGCGCCCCGCCTTAATTGAAACTGGTGGAACTGGTGGAAGAGGCATTTTTGATTTCAAATATCATTAGTTTGAATCCAAAACATCCGGTGTAACTGGGAAACGCTGTTTTGTAAATATCATTGGGGTCAAATTCGATTTGATGAAATCCATTCTTCAAATCGAGGGTGGTGAAATACTTATTGGACGCCGCGTGCAATTTTTTGGAAAACTTCCATGGAAATGTAGAATGCTGATTCAGCATTACTGAATAATGCCATTTTCTAAGATTTGGTTCCTTTGAGTATTAAGTTCTTGTTTGTCGCCTGCTGGAATATAGTTTGAGTGAATATAGAGGTTTCATGAGTGATATTAATTTGGTTAATAAAAGTTCGGGATGAGCGATCATAGAGAAAATATCGCGGTACTAATAACAAAAGTCTCGAATCGCTTTGTATTCTTCAGTTAATGAGATAATCTTAATTTTTTAGGATTTTGTTCTTGTAAATTATCGAAAGTGATGTGATTATGATGGCTGTTGACCTTTATGTTATCAAGGTCAACTCATAAAAACTGATCTTTATGTCGCTTTGCTATGAATGGATGCGCGGTGTGCATAGAAAATTGTTCATTAGCGATTGAGTTTGGTTATAAATGATTGATAGACAAGATTAGGTTTGATAAAACTTATTCCGCTATCTGTATCAATGAGAAATTTGGCATTCAATTCGAGTAAAATGAGTCCAGGCAAATCGGAATTAGATTAGAATATGTATCTATTTAGATAACGGGTCATCAAAAAAAGAAATTAAATCAAAGTGGGCTTAGATTACAAAAACGTACGTCGCATTATCAAAATCAAAGAAAAATATGGCTAAGACCGCTAAGACATACGTTCAAAAAATCATAGCCAACTTTGATTTACTTTTTTTTAGAAGACCCGTTATATTATTTACGTCAAATTGCTGGTTGGGGTGACCATGTGAAAACTTTCTTCCTAACTTGGGTCTTTGTAGTAATTGGCATTTCCATAATTTTGATGTATTAAGAATCATTTCCATTGTTTTCTTCATATTAAATTTGGTTGCGTTGGAGCACTTTCCTTGTTTCATATAAAATATAGAAATGATAAAAAGGCCCCGGAAGAGGACCGAATCACAGTTGAAAGGATAAAGTTAGATAACTTTCGTCGACAACAGCGAAGCCTCTCAATCGGTAGAGCTATGGGCAATCTTCTGAGCCAAGAGAAATGCAATGGACTCGAGATATATAAATTCCATCGAAAATATGTGAAAGAAAGAACACTAACTTGTACAGGATAGTGGTGAATAGGGATGTAGAGCAGCAAAGAGATACCTACCTTCTCTCCCATATAACGGAGGTATCAAAATACACGGCCAAAAACCCTTCCCCTTTTTGATGGAATGGTACCTACTCATTAGTCGTAACACAGAAAACCCAGCCCAAGGACTTAGGATTTTCTATGAACTTGGGAAAATAAAAATCATTACTTCAGAAAATGTCAGGATTCATCTGGATGATGTGATTCGTTTATTTAATGAATATTTTATCTGGTTGCGAAGGCATCTTACAAAAAATCGTGTTTTGAAATATTCGATAATGACCATAATAAACCGTAGTGCTGTGGCATTCTGACATTGAGCAGAAGCTAACTGGATCAAATTGAAAAATTTCTTGTTTACTTTTAGAATCTAGACCATTGACCCATTTATCTCATATCTTTTATCTCTCAAATTGCAATAAATGCATTAGGACTGGGCACTCATGATAAAATCTGTGTCTAAATCGTCAGCTTAAAAAGACAAATAGATTAATATAGCGTAGGTACAACCACTTAAATTCAATAATGGGTTGCATCCTCATATGTCTTGATTAATGTTTCCGTTTAAACATTTCTAAAATATCGCATGGATTGGTAAAGATAATATTTTTTTTTTTTAATCACATGAATTATTTAAACATAATTATCATTTTCTAGGAACATCCTTGTCCTCAGCAAACAAGGTCTGGCTCCAAATCTTTATGCCACTTTTGAAAACGGACTGGCATATAGGTTTCAGCCTGGATGTACCTTGAACAAAGAAACTGTCCGGAACCCCAAAATATACAATCTGGTAGCAAGGAGAATGGCAAAACTACATAAAGCCAATGTTGAAGAAGAAGAAAATCCTAAACCGTTTATTTGGAAGAAAACTAGGGACTTTTTGAATTTAGTTCCTGAGACATTTTCGTGTGCAAAGACACAGAGAAGGTAAAATAAATGTCCATTAAGGCAAATTAATGAATATTGTAGATATTATAGTTATTTATGTATCAAGGGAATTATGAGGGTGTTAATAACTCAGGGCAAAGTTTGTGTACCCCGAGGGCCTTCGGCCCGAGGGACACCAATTGCCCGTGGGTATTAACACCTGATAATTCCCGTGGTACATAGATAATTTTATTACCTACTGAATTTACTCTATTTTGTCCATTTTTATGAAGGAATAAACCATAAACCAAAATTTCTATTTTTTGTCAAAATTTCACCTATTCAAGGTAAAAGCGGGAGTTATGGAAATCCTTAACTCCCTCCGGAGTTATGATATCCTTAACTCCCTTGGGAGTTAAGACCCTGTTTATGATTATCGTAAAAAGGGAATATATGGTTATAATAGTTCAGTAGGAAATAAAAGCATTGAGAAAAATACTCGGAAAATGAGATTGAATTCCTAGCAAAAAAAAACTTTTTTTTATCTCCTTTTTGGATGTTTCACTGTCAGTTTCATGATTTTCCATTACCTAACTACTTTTGTCTTTCTCTGTTTATCTGCTTTTATCTGTTGTGCGAGAGTATGGTTTCAGTCTGTTTTATCTTCTGTAAATTTCTATTAAACATTCGTTATTTTTACAGTGGTGTTCTTCTAGACCGATACAGTTATTTCTACTGAGCTCCTTTTTTAAGTTATCTTCTTTTTTGCAACTCCCCTAATACTTATAAATTTTATTCTTGACACATATGCACCAATTATTTTTCCCTTCTCCAATGGGGTAGTATACAAGTGATTTTTAACTACTACGTATAGTGATATACTCGACGTACCGTACTATTTAGTGTGAAGTTTGTTTCGCCAGGGTTTGTACTTGTCACCAGCATTTGCCTTCCTTGTTTAACAAATAAAAATTGACTGAAACAAATCAATGACTTCAAAAACGTTTGTCGATTTTTAAACCAGAAGTCATTCATTTTAATTTGTCAAAAAATTGAATGTGTCATATGAATTAATCTACGACAACCCTTTTTTTCAAATTTCAAGGTCAAGTATGAACCCTGGTGAAACGGACCTTATCTAATCAGTTGCTTTGTAAAATCCGCAATAGCCTGGAATTTCTTTTTTTAAATTTCCTCTCAACCCCGCCCCTATGTGAAAATAAAAGTTCGTGACGGAGTTAGTTTTTCCAATTTGGCAACACATCACGGTTTTGAGAACGCACAATTTGCACTGACATTGACCGTCAAGAACGAAACGTCAAATTTACTACATCAAACAACGTAAACAAGTTACTGTGATAATGTCACATGTCACACGACACCACACGTCGTTGAACTCTTGAAGTCAGCGGTCATTTTGTGGCATTTTGAGCAGCGTTGCCAGATGGTCAGCGACTCGAATACTATTGGTCGCCGCTGTGGCGCTAAATTCAAATTACAGTTTGTTTATCCCTTACTACTTCTATAGACACTATGCTCGAAAATAATTTAGTATCTCACTATATCATCACCATTACATACATAGTATACTACCCCTTTGTCTTCATTCTAGTGGAATCGATTGCCCTGCTTTTATCTTCACATTTCATCACGATTACTTCTTCTAAATGTTTCTTGAACTTTATTGAATTATCTAGAAGGTGAAGAAGGTCGCTACTGTAGTTGCTATTTTGGTTCTTCCATTTTGAGGTCTACATAATTAGGTACATTATTTATTTAGCTTTATCCTCCTTTGTTATTGTGAAATTTGTTGATACTGATAAATCTATTTTTAATTTATTGTGTTTTGATAACCTTCTTGACAAGCAAAATTTTGTTTTCTAGGAAAGGAAGCTAAGGCAAATTTTAATAAACAGGGACCATACATAACAATTTTCGCACATATTTTAATTTTTAGATATGTGGAAATGCGTCTTCCATCGCAAACGGACCTAAACGAAGAAATAATTGATTTACAAATGGCTTTGGAGAAAGTTGATTCACCAACTGTGTTTTGCCACAATGATTTACTTTTGGGAAACGTGGTTTTTACGGAAAATGAAAATAACGTTACTTTTATCGATTACGAATATGCGGCTTTTAATTACCAGCCTTTTGATATTGCTAATCATTTTGCTGAGTTCGTAGGTAAGGAATAAGGAACATTGCCTTAAGGATGTTTTCCCGTGATATTACGGAAAAGGGAAAATAAGGCTTACCTAACTGATAATAATTATTTCTTCTATGAGTTGTACGGATTAAAAAAATGATAAATAATTGTTCAAAAAAACTGTCAATAACAAATTAATTCAATAACAAAATGACTATTTACACGACTTGAGAGCATCCTTGAAATAATAAGTTTTACTTGACTTCGCCCATTTAAGAGTACTAACAATAATTTCTAGGTATTGATGTATTAAAAGTAGATTACAAATCAGACTTTCCGTCCAAAGAGCTGCAAATAGACTGGATAAAAATATATTTACAAGAATTCCTCGAAAGAGAACCAGAAGAAAAAGAAATCGAAGCGTTGTACATAAATACCACAAGATTTGTCTTGGTGTCGCATATATTTTGGGGTATTTGGGCCCTAATACAAGCTGAACATTCCACTATTGATTATGATTTTTTGATGTAAGTACCAAATAAACCACAGTTTATGAAGTTTTTTTTTTAATTGAAATGTTACTCTTCAGGTTTGCTAAAGTCCGATTAGACGAATACTTTGCCAGAAAAAAAGAGTTTTTAGCTTTGAAGGTTCCTGGAAATAATGCAAAACTTTAATCACAGTCTCAGGCTTGGATTTGATATACTCACACAAATAATAAAGCAAAACTTGAGTAGAATATTTGTAAGAAATTCTTATTTTTATGATAGATATTATTTTTATGCTAGCAAGTTGATCGAACATAAAATAGAATTTTGTATGCACTAGTAAACCTTATTTTTTGAAGACATTTTAGTCTTTTCTTCAGTTTTTGTTAATTCTGTAACCTGTAACATATCTGCGTCTGTCTTAATTTGTTTAGCTTTAGAAAGGCTACACGCCAATTTTTACATTACCATTGACAATTTACCTCCTTTTAGACAATAAAAATGTTAAATGTTTAGTGTTAGTGTAGTTCAAATTTTGTCACTATTTCTTAGTTTAGCTCATATTCATTTGATTGTTAAATTTGATTGGTAAATTTTATAAATAGACAATATTTTATTAAAATGTGTTTGTCACACTCAAAACTAGAAATATTATTTTCAAATTAGGTATCTCTTATTTTCTTCTTCTCTTATGCATGAATTTCCATCTCCGCTGGCAGCTGGTAGATAATTTAGATAGATTTTCGTGTTCCCACTATGTTTTCGATAATCAACCTGCTTTCCCTGTATTCAATGCTTACGGCTGACGTCTTGGTTTCAGCTGGTTCAATAGGGAACTTGACAAAAAATTTAAACATGAAAATATTACTATAAATCATAAGAATATATTATGTTAAAACATTATCAGCGAAAAAAACAATTTTTTTTTGTCGCAAACGGCCGCAATAAGGAATTAAAAATGCGGAAAAATTCAAAATATTTTCAGCGGGAAAAAACGCGCTGGTACTGGTCGTGACGTCATCTAGTATGATCTGTCAGTGTCTGTCAGCAAACGTCCATCATACCGTGAGTTCGTCTTGAAACACTGAGCGCTCGGAGCATTTTCCGTCTTTTTTCCTTATAATGAGAAGACAGGGATAAAAGAACAAAACAGCAGCTCGAACTCTACATAATAAATACCCGTTAGTTGTGTTTATCCACGTTTTTCTCTATTTTTTTAAAATTTTATCATTATTAGAATTGGTTTACTTAGCTTAAATTCAATGATTAGCTCAGCCACAGCCTCCTACACTTAACAAGCCATGAAGTTGGAAATGACGGCAACGTCGCGTATGGTGCTGTTTTGTTATTGGGGTTATGTGTTTCTGTGTATTAGGCATTCCAGGTTAATGTCATAACCGATCCGCCATATTAGTTTGGGGGGCACACAAAAGCCAAACATAACCTGATTCAATGTTAAACCAAGAATTTTCAATCTATTTTGTGAAGATGCCTTCTATTTGCTGCGTTGTTAGGTGCTCTAGTAGAGCGGAAAGAGATAAAGAAAGGTTTTTCAGGATCCCAGCAGCATTAAGAGATCTAGGGAATCGTCTAAACGAGCTAAAAAAGGAACGACGAAATCTGTGGATTAAATGCCTCAAAAGGAGAGATTTAACTGAATCGTTTCTGAAAAATGCTAGTATTTGTTCAAAACATTTTGTTAATGGTAAGTATTATGACTGTCTTGTTAAAATACAAAAACACATTTATATTGAAAAATTGGTTTGTTTCTACAAGTAATATTTACTTTTAATACCTTTTAGGTAGTCCAGCAGAACTTGAATAATCCTTTATATACGCCTTCAACTGCAAGCCTGTGTAGTAACTGTGGGTGTGGGTCAAATATTCGGATAAATCCAAAATTGAAACCTCTGGCAACTCATTGATACTTAAAGTAAACTCATTAGGTAGAAGTTTATAAGGATCTATATTGGCAATTATTTGTATTTTTTGGTCATACCGACATTTCACATCACTAGCTAACGATGAATAATAGTCAATGTTAGCCATTCTACCACAAAAACAACTTTAAACTTATTGAGAGAATTTAAGAACGCAAAAATTCGGAAACACAATCTCAAAGAACGGTGTAAATACTGATCTAGGCTTTGTTTGCCCCCCAGCGGACCTGTCAAAAGTCACGTGACCTGGAATGCCTAATTAGGGAATCCAAACCACGTGACTTTTGCCAACCAGCCGGCATTTTGAAATTTTTATGAGGTTAGAATACGGGTTGTTACATGTCAACTGTAACGTAGGTTACTAAATTTTTATTGTTTTATCCGCGTTTCCGTTAATTAAATTAATTCCGTACCGATATGTTGTGTCGACGCGTGACCTCGAATGCAAAGCACTCTCCAGTATAAACCGACCTGCGCGCCGCGTTTCAAAAACTCGATTCCCCACCGCTGGTATCCGCGCTGCCGTCTGACGACGACGTGACGCGGCGCCTCCCGATTATTTATACGGCAGCACACACTGCAGTCGGCCACTTCTATCCGAGCTCCGATTCCGACCAGACCTACCGACCAGCACCAGCCGCCAGCTACAAGCAATGTAAGTCCGTTTTATCCGCCGCCGCCGCCGCTTGCCGACGTCAGCACCGTCGCGACGCCAGATGAAGGCTCAGTAAGTAATAGGTATGGGTAAGAAGGCAGGTATTCTCTCTCTCTCTCACACTGCAAGAACGGAACTACGGGTGGGAACACGTACTGGGTAGCTCTGTTCTTGTAGTGAAAGACCTAAGGGGGCTACGGGCTGGAATACGTACAGGGTAGCACTCTTCTGTCTCGATTGGTGAATAGAGGAAACGAAACCACGGGTGGGAACACGTACTGGGTGGTTTTGTTTCCTCTATGGGAAGACAAAAGGGGGCCACGGGCTGGAACACGTACAGGGTGGCACTCTTTGTCTCACACTTCTTCTGACTTCATATTCCACGGGGACCTGCTTTCTGCCTATTGTTAAATTCACGCATGCGCCATAGGGCGCTGATCCGAGTTGCTGACGCCGGTAAGAGTCGGACCGTACAAACCATAATTCCGGAGCTTCTTGCCTGTTTCACCGCACCGTCATTGTTTACCGCACCGTCATTTTTACCGCACCGTCATTGTTTACCGCACCGTCATTTTTACCGCAACGTCATTGTTTACCGCACCGTCATTTCTACCGCACCGCCATTTTCACCGCCGCGCTATACCAGTCCGCACCGTCACGCATATCACTCCGTCTCTCTCTCATACTCGTTCACACACTCTCTCTCTCCGGGTTAAGCATTTCATTTCAATAAATCCGCATCTTAATTAGGTTTTCTTGCATTTCCTTTCTATTGTTATTTATTTGGGCATTAATAAAAAGTGCATTGTTGGATATTGTGTGTTTCATTTTTGGGAAATGCGCATCGACCTCTGGTTTTTCCGTCTCCACTGTTTAAAAGCTACCTAGAGCACGTGGGCCCCTTAACCACATTAATCCTAAGGGTGGCGCCCGAGTTTTCCGAAAACCCCGAACCGACCGCTCTCTTACCGGAAAACCAAAGTAGCGCTACACAACGATGTCAGTATTGATAAAGCCTAGTACTCATAACCATAACAGCGAAATTCGCTGTTTTTTGACATTGCTTCGACAATTTGACGTTTTATGTGTGAATCAAACGTCAAAAAAGAGCGAATTTCGTGGTTATGAGTACTAGGCCTAATCCCGTCAAAATAAAAACATATGTTTTTTGTTTATTATTTGCCAACCAGACGCCATTTGGACAGGTCGTTGGATTGCCTAATTGCGTTCATTGTTTATTGTTGCAATTTAGTATTTTTGTGGGCATTATTGACGAAAAAGTGGATAGAAACACACCGATATATTGCCCATATTTAGTTGATACCTGTTCCTTTGCGCTTTGATTGCAAATTTTTAGCAAATGGGTACAGGTCTTACAGGAGCAAAAATGAAGGTAAGGTAAGATAAAAAAATAAAAACAATATTAATATTTGTGTGCAAGAGCATAGTTCTCGATATATTACCTAAGATATTTAAACTTGTTCCAGATGCCATGAAACTATAGGAGTTACTTAAAAACTGGAGTAATGCAAACATTTTCATTTCCAAAAAAATTCTGAATTGCAAAAGTTGTGGATGAAAGCAATACACCAGAATAATTATACCCGAGATTATACAATAACGAAAAATTCTGTGGTGTGTTGTAAACATTTTGTAGAAACCGACATACCTACCTAATTAGATTTGAAACAAACAAGGATAAAGGAGTAATTCGAGAGTTCAAACTAAAACGTCCAACTCTTAAAAGTACCTGTTATTTTCAAAAATCAGCTCAAGTATTTGAATGGACCTGCCTTCCGAAAAAATCCCGAAGAAAGAAAAAGTTAGATTTTCAAAAGACACACTGAAACATAGGCTTATAACACTTTAGAATCTAGAAATATATTCATTTAAATCAACTATTTACTGATATTATTTACACAAATAGTTATATTATTCATTGAATTACTGTTTTTGGCCCTTTAGTACAATAAATGATGCATTTTTTGTCATTCATATTAACAAAATAAAATATATATTTATAAAAACAAACAGCACCAGCACCACTTGGCGGTATGATTGCGGTGTTGCCTTTTTAACTTCATGGCTTGTTAAGTGTAGGAGGCTGTGGCTCAGCATTACATAAATAAAGCGATATACCTATTAATTATGACCGAAGAAGGAAATTCCAAAGGCCAATCCGACAATCTGTAATTTGTGATATGTTTATGGTAGCAAAAGTAAGTATGTGCGAATCTTTTTTTCCATTATAACTTCAAAATTTACAACTCGCTGCAACACAAAACAACAACAAAACAAATAACGGTGGAAAATGTGGAAATCAACCAAATTAAATACAATAAAGTATAACGTTTGGTGACAAGGTGACACAAAATCATACTTCGTGACGTCATCCAGATTCGCGCGCATTTAAGGTCGTTTGAAATGCTTTTAATACGCGCGAAACTTTAAACATTTTTCACCAAGTTATTATTGAGTTTTAGAAAATAATATTTTGGGAACACTCTTTTAAGGCATAAATAAATGATTTGAAAAAATAAAAAAAAAAATTGTAAAGTTCCCTATTGACTTGGTACAGTTTTGAGAGGAACGAACGGTTCGAGTCGACACCTGTTTATCGCCAACTGTCTCTATCTCCATGTCTTGTTGGAACTGGATCCAGACCCCAGAGGGTCTCTTCACCTATCACGAAACTATTTAGAACTGCGTACCTACTGACATATCCAGCCAACTCATTGTGGCGAAGTTCGGCGTCCTCCGTCTACTACCGCCTCAATAATCTTTATGTCAGTAATTTTTGCCGAAAACCCCAGAGTATATACGGCTTAAAAGAACCAGCTCAGAGTTTTCCGGCAATCGGCAATAGTCAAAATTAAATAAATCGCTACTAAGCCAAGCTCTGGAATATCATAATTTTGACCGGAAACTTTAGGAATTAAATAAATCATGGTTACCAATATCAGGTGGAAAAAAATTAAGTAAAATCTGTTTTTTTTTTTAAAGATAAAAGTCAAAATGACATTATGTTGGCAATACAATGTAAA